CTCTGTCTAACATAATGCTGATACAACAGATGAGGACAGATGAAGAAATTAAGAAAACAGAACAGTCTACTCTGTCTAACATGATGCTGAGAGCTGAAACAACAGATGAGGACAGATATATCTGCTGAGGCACAAACATGTTTGATATTAAAATTCTACCATTTTAGAATACATACTGAAACAGGATCCTCTTTGTGTGTCTTAATGTAACCATATTATTAGTTATAAATAGTACACTTTAGATCATAAAGTATTTCCAACTTAGACATCGGTTTATTAAGAGCTCATGTCCCACTTTTTATGCATACATGGCCCTTAACTATTTACTATGTAGATATGAGAGTTACAAAGAGAAATTGAACACTGAAGCAACTAAAGAACAATCAAGTCACAATGAAAAGCAATATCTTTAAGGGGAATTATAAAAGATTTCATTCTTCTATTGTGATGGTTTTACAGATAGATTCATGAGAGTATGAGCCAACTCTCATTTCAGAATGTGTTATGTAAACTGTCCTAGTTTACAAAGCTTGTTACTGGCAGACAGACTTGAGAACCCAGAATTCCTTCTAGCACAGTGTTGCCACAAAATGATATCTACCACTAGAAAATAAGAAATACTTAATGGGATTTGAAACACATTTGTGAAAATGGTTTGTTTTCCTAATACTCTGATTTATAATTGTGAGCAATCATTTTGTTCATTTTTTAAGGAACAACACAAAGAAAGAATATTCCAGGATGAGTCACAGTTTTCAAACAAGACCGGTATCCTGTTGCTGATTGTTGAAGACTTTGGGACCATTTCTTTATAAACCTCCATATCTATACATGTTAGCAGGAGAAGAAGGAAAGAAATAAAACCAGAAGGCTGTAATGGAAAAGACACGGAGAGATAAAGATAAAGAGAGGAAGAAATGTCTGTAAACACCACACACATATGGAGGGGAGGGAATGGTCAGTGAAAGCATTTTTATTTTTACAAAACATCGTCCTTAAGACTACTTTATATAGGTTATGGCTATTTTTTCCTCTGGTATATGCAAAAATCATGTCTACTTTTATATAAACAATATATAAAATAAATATTTTTGGTTTATTGTAAACTACTTTCTATTAAGTGATGTAAAAAGAAACAAACTGATTATCATTATCTCTGCTAGCTCAGTGAAAGATGAAAGAGATGTTGAGTGGGGGCTGCCACAAGATAAATTGTGTCTATTGTGATGCCTTTATATCATCATCTTTCTGTATAACATGTTTAACAGATTGTGTTGAGAGAGAAGAAAATTATCATTAAAATATATTGTAAGAAAACAAATATTTTCATAAAAGTAAATTAATAAAGCACACTGCTATTATTTTTTAAATAATTTATTGGGAACTGGGAAGATGGCTTAGTAGGTGAAATGCCTATTGCTCAATCATGACTTGAGCTTAGATTCCTAACACCCAGGGAAAACCCAGACCTGGCTCTGCATTGGTAGAACCCTAGCACCTCGTGAGTCTTAAAGGAGTGTGCTTTGGTTTGAATGTGATCAAAATAGGCTGTAAAAAATCAAAGAACTAAATAAGAACAAGGAAAAATGAAGAATTAGCTGTCCCACTCACCATTTCCAAAGCTTAGTCAATGGTGTGATTCCTTTGTTACTATTTCCTACAAATTACTTATGCAGTTAGGCAAACATGCAGCAGGATCAGAGACAATCCTAGACTCCATTCTTGGTTCTACTTCATACTGCACATCTAGGAGTGGGCTTCTCCACCTCTAAGTTTGCCTTTTCAATGGCAAAATACAAGGCCTGTGTGCCACCGTGCACCTCCCTACCATGATCCTCATGTACACTCACGCTCTGCAACTGTTAAGCAAGCCCCCAACAATCTCTTCTGTAAGTTCTCTTGGTTATGGTGTCTTAGCACAGCACGGCAATAGACAAGTTACTATCACAGGAACAAAGAAAGAAACTGAATGTTCAGATGAGGAATAATAAATTTGCAAACAAATTGTCCAGGTGAAAAATGGAAGAATTAGCTGTCCCACTCACCATTTCCAAAGCATACATATATTTATATGTATTTATAAATATATACATTTATAAAAATGTGTATATGCCTGGCTGCTTGCACTATTTTTTAGACAACGACGAAACAACATATATAATATAGATGTTGACACACAGGACAGAAACTAAACAACTGTGCTTTTGTGACAAACAATCAACTTGATTATCTGTGGGTTTAACTAAACTAAAAGTTTTAAATCTCAATATAGCTGTGTGATGTTCACAAATCAGGACGGTGGTTAGGCTGAAAGAAGAGAGAATATTGAACCAGAAATCTGTGACTGTGCCTGTCAACATTCTTTTTGAATCCTATGGTTACATGTTTCATTCCTCTTTGTGATAGATCTGTGTTTATTATTTGTCAACTTTGATTTGTATTTCATATTTCATTTAATTTTTTAGAATTTTAGGACAATTTTGTAGGTAAAAGAAATAAGCTACATGTTCTGGAAAATATGCTAAATGCCAGCATTTGTACTAAAAAATAAATGCACAGCTTCATTTGAAAGAAAAGTATATTGAAACAAAAATACCATTTTAAACATTTTTACATTAATACCTGTTTAGGGTCAAGGCAAAAATGTCTGCTGTTGATTGAGATATGAATGGATGCCTGTATGTACACTATGTAAACTCCGACCGAACCTGAGTAACATACACCTAAAGATTTGTGAAAAGTATTATAGTTTTAAAAGTACATGCTACAAAGAAGAATCAGACAAATGTGCAAAAGTGTGCTTGGAAATGGAAAAATGTATTTATAAATTAATATCCCTCAAAGTACATGTAATTGTTAAAGTTTGAATGCAAGTTTCTAACGGATAATTAGCTAAATGTTGTATATCAAACCCAGAAAAATATATACTGCTATGTTAAATAGCATAGAGAGATCCACAAGTCACAACTATGACATGTTTATATGTAGGGAAAGACAAAGCTGTGCAGAGAAACACAATGTGAAGGGCAGAAGCCAAATGGTAACTTTTAGTATCTTTGGGAAGTGTTTTGCTTTGGGTCCTTACATTTGTATTTTATAAGATTCATTTCTGAGCTTTCTAAATAAGGGAATATATAGCAATGAATCAAAGGAACTTTCATGTAAATAAATTTGTAATAAACGAGAAAGAGAAAATATGACAGAACCATCACCAAAAATAATATTTGGGACAATTGAAATTTATATTATCTCTTAGTACTATCACAGCATATTTCAAAATGTTATTCAAATGATTTTATGAGTACTTATGATTTTACAGACTTCATACTCTAAATCCCAAGAAGCCAACTTCAGCAAACATAGCACTAACTGATTCTTTGAAAGATAACCACTTCAGACTTGCCTCCTTACTATTTTACACAAAATAGCATTATACAAAGGCAAGTTTAATTTACAAGATTTTTCCAAGCTACTGTTGCTTAAAGTTTATATATCTATCAACAAGTAATAATCTCAGAAAAAAGTGGCTATAATTTCAAATTCTGTCTATAACCAGTATTGTAATATAAATTATTCCCATTCTGTTGATGCAATACAAAAATTAGTAATAATACAGGCTAAGACTGAAAAACAAAACAATAGCATGGGAAAACCATAATAATCTGATGTCATGTACAACAAATTATTCTACTTTCACTCAGTTTTGTAGAGTTTTGCTGATAAGCACTTCTTGCTTGTATTATATAAGTCATGAGTTCCTTTTTCTCTGTAGTTCCCAGTATTGATTGCAATCACTTAAAAACAGTAAAACCATAACAAGTCCATTCTCACACATAAACTCACTTTCTAAAGCCTGACTTATAAACATTATTTTCCATTTCTTAGAAAATGGTCAACATGGTCATGTGTGCCTGTTAACCTTTGTCTGGAGTTCTGAAGAAAACTGCTGGTGCAACAGGAACTCCTGCAGAGACGACTGTTTATAGAAATTTGTCCAAGAACATCCTGAATTATGGTGCATACCCTTAAACAATTAATAGTAGCATCATTTTTCACTCACTAATATCCCGATTGGATAGGACATTGTATGGTCAGACTGTTGCCCATACACACAATTCGCATCATGCTAGTTCTAAAATTTATAATAAATGCTTCAAGCTAGCCACTTCTAGCTTTATCATCTTGCACAATGAAAGGTGTGAACAAATGTAAACAATAAGATACTCAAATTCCACAAGAGATGATTGAGGAATTAAGAACAGAAAATTGTTTCCAGGTATACCTACTCTCCTATGGACGGTCAAATCACACACCTTAAAGAAATAAGATATACTTAGAAATTTGGCCAAGGTATTGATACTTACCATGAGTTATGTTCCTCTAATAACCCAAACAATCATGAAATTAAAGGAAATCCAAATTTCATCTAAGCTTAAATATTTCTATTTTGACTTTGGTTAAAAACTGTTTCTCATGTTACTTGACTAGAATGCTTTGAAAGAAAAAGAAACTAAACACCTAAACTGCATCTTTATCAGTAATGGTGCTTTAAATTAATAGATATATATTTTAAAAAAAGATATATATATATCAAATAAAATCAAGAATTAATTAAAAGAAAAAGAAAAGGATCTACAAAACTAAGGTTAAATCAAAGAGGATTTTTCCATGCATAGTAAAATCTTATGTGATTATACGGGTGGGGTGGTTGGTTGATTGGTTGGTTGGTTTGCAAGCAGTAATTTCTCCTTACAAAGTTCTATCTAGAAGCATTTGTATACCAACATAACACAAAAATGGTTAATCTAAATAACTGAAAGAAAATGTGCCTGACTTGTGATACACAGCTATACAAAATATTCTACACTATTCATTTTTGAAAGTTTTAGTTTAGACTATATCCACAGACTGTTACCTATATTTATTTCTGTTAAAAAACTTAGCACCTTACCTAAATTGCATATCCAGTAAAATAGGATGGACAGAAATCAGATACTCACTTGCACATCTGTTCATATCTGGGGCTCGGTGTCCATAGTACCCTGACGGGCAGGAATGCAGGCACTCTCCATACTGGCGCATCCCTTCTCTTCGGAGGAAAAAGAACAATTTCTGTTGACATCGGCTGCATCCATTGTCCTTTGAACAAGACAAACAACCTTTGCAAATGGGATTTGATACATAGCTAGCTGTAACAGAAAAAACAAAGAACAAAAATATTTAAATATGAGTATGATTAGACTTTTGGTCTATATACCATCATGCAAAGAAAGAAGTCTCAGGTCAAAGACCCAAGAGAACCTGCTACTGCAAGTTTCTAAACCACTATAACTTCTGTTTTCCAAATACTCATCTTTATACCCACAGATATATCTGGCTGTCACCCATTATCGAAGAAGCTTCTTTTTGCACAGCTGGAGACCATTACAGAGATCCCTACTGGTCAAAATATAGAGCCTATGTGTCTATAGAATGACAAACCTACATTGCTACATCTGCAATGCAACCCCTATACATAAGGCTCAGGGAAAATCATGAAAGAGGGGGAAGAAATATTTTGAGAGTCAGAGAACAAGTATGCCTGCTGAAGGAGTGTGTTGCCTAGATATGACAGAGAAAATGTGTTGATGAACTTTTAAAAATATGGTTGTCTGAATAAGTCCAATGTAATTACACAAGTTGACACACCAGTGCAGTCAGAGGAAGTTCTAAATGGTCCTACCCCTAGGTAAGAGATGCAGATAGTTGGCAGCTACTTTCTAAAAGAGGAAGACTCAGTTGCCTCCAAGGAAAAATTCTTATCTAGGTTGTCCAATTACAAAAGGTCAGCCCTACACGCATATACATATGAACACAATTGAATGGATTCTGTCTAATATATACATGTGTGCACATACAAGGGTGAATATACATGTAACAATTACAAAGAAAAGATCATGAGCTTGGCAAGACAGACTCTGTGGAGCTGGAATGTAAAGATGGAGAGTAAGAATGATATAGATGCAGTGGTCATGTATGAAGCTCTCAAAACATATATTTTAAAACAAATCTCTATCTCCCCCTTCTTCCATAGGGTTCTCTGCACTCTGCCCAAAGTTTGGCTATGGGTCTCAGCATCTCTTTCAATACCCTGATGGGTAGTCTCTCACAGGGCCCCTGTGGAAGGCTCATGTCCTTTTCCCTGTCTTCTCCTACTTCCAACGGAAGACCTAGAGGAGACAGGAGCTCCACAAGGAGACCAACAGAGCAAAAAACAACCTGGGCCCAGGAGAGGGGCTGAAGAGACTGATGTTCCAACCAAGGACCATGCATAGAGAGGACAGAGACTCCCTGCTCAGATGAAGCCCATTAGCTGCTCAGTTTTCAAGTGAGTTCCTTAGTAAGGGGAGTAGGAGCTGTCTCCCTGGGGGATGCAACCTTGCCAGGACACAAAGGAAGACTATGCAGCAAGCCCTAAAAAGACCTGATAGGCTAGGGTCAGATAGAAGGGAAGGAGGGCCTCCCTTATCAGTGGGCTAGGGAAGGAGCATAGCAGGAGAAGAAGGAGGGAAGGTGGGACTGGGAGGAAATGGGGGGAAGGGCTAAAGCCAGGAAACAAAGTGAATAAATTGTTACAAATAATAATAAATTGATAAATTAATTTAAAAGAACATAAGATAGAAAACAAATTTTCATTTCAGAAAAGAAAGTTTAAATTAGGATCATGTACTTCAACCCATTAGCATTCTGGAAAAAAAACAAAAACAAAAAAAAAACAGAAAAGTAAAACCAGAAAATGTAATTCGTTATCTGAAACTCTTTTTGGATAATGGTGCATTTTTCTCCTTAAACAGTTTACACTTCATTAAGTGGCAATGTGATTGGATCATGAAAATGTATTTTTGAACATAAGGGCACAGAAACACTTAAAGAAACGTTCAATGTCCTTAGTCATCAGGGAAATGCAAATCAAAACGACCTTGAGATTTCACTTTACATCCATCAGAATGGCTAAGATAAAAAACTCAAAGTGACAATACATGCTGGAGAGGATATGGAGAAAGGGGAACCCTCCTCCACTGCTGGTGGGAATGTAAACTTTACAACCACTTTGGAAATCAATCTGGCACTTTCTCAGACAACTAAGAATAGTGCTTCCTCAAGATCCAGCTATCCCACTTCTAGAAATATATCCAAAAGATAGATGCTCAAGTATACAACAATGACATTTGCTCAACCATGTTCATAGCAGCTTTATTTGTAATAGCCAGAAGCTGGAAACAACCCAGATGTCCCTCAACAGAAGAATGGATACAGAAATTTTGGTACATTTACACAATGGAATACTACTCAGCAATTAAAAACAAGGAAATCATGAAATTTGCAAGCAAATTGTGGGAACTAGAAAAGATCATCATGAGTGAGGTATCTCAGAAGCAGAAAGACACACATGGTATATACTCACTTATAAGTGGATATTAAAAATATAACAGGATAAACATATTAAAATTTGTACACCTAAAGAAGCTAAGCGAGGAGGACCCTGGGTAAGATGATCAATCCTCACTGAGAAATGCAAGTGGGATGGACATCAAAAGATGGAGATAACAGGAAACAGGACAGGAGCCTACCACAGAGGGCCTCTACCCAACAGGTATCAAAGTCGAGGCTGAGACTCATAGCCAAACTTTGGGCAGAGTGTAGGGAGTCTTATGAAAGAAGGGGGAGATAGAAAGATCTGGGGCCAGGAGCTCTACAAGGAGAGCCAATAGAACCAAAATATCAGGGCCCATGGGTCTTTTCTGAGACAGATACTCCAACCAAGGACCATGCATGGAGATAACCTAGAACCCCTGCAAAGATTTAGCCCATGGCAGCTCAGTATCCAAGCGGGTTCCTAGTAAGGGGAATAGGAACTGTCTGTGACATAAAGGCAGTGGCTGGCTCTTGAACACCTCTCCCTGAAGTGGGAGCAGCCTTACCAGGCCACAGAGGAAGACAATGCAGCCAGGCCTGATGAGACCTGAAATGCTAGGGTCAGAGGGAAGGGGAGGAGTATCTCTCCTACTAGTGGACTTGGAGAGGGACATGGAAGGAGATGAGGGAGGGGGGATAGGAATGAGGGAGGGGGCTATAGCTGGGATACAAAGTGAATGAACTGTAATCAATAAAGAAGGAAGGAAGGAAGGAAGGAAGGAAGGAAGGAAGGAAGGAAGGAAGGAAGGAAGGAAGGAAGGGAGGGAGGAAAGAAAGAGAGAGAGAGAAAAAGAAAGAAAGAAAGAGAAAGAAAGAAAGAAAGAAAGAAAGAAAGAAAGAAAGAAAGAAAGAAAGAAAGAAAGAAAGAAGAAAATAAGGGTAAGTGCTCTTTAGGAATAGATAACACGGGCAACCTTTATTATTAAAATTGCTTTACTTCAATTTTTTAATTTTTTTATTTATTGAGACAGAGTGGGGAGGGGAACAGGGGTTGGGTTCAGCAGGGTCATGTATGGGGAGATAAAATAGAAATGGGTGGGGGAACATCTCTGGGACAGGAGAGACTCATGCTGTGGGAGGGTGGGACATGGAACCTGATGTCACCTCCTGCTATAGCCAGGTGGGACTTCCAGTGGAGGAAGAAGGATACCAGCCCACCCATAAAACCTTCAATTCAAATTTGTCCTGCCTACAAGAAGTATAGGAATAAAGATGGAGCAGAGATTGAGAGAATAGCCAGCCAATGATTGGTCCAACTTGTGATCCACCCCATGAGAGAAAGCCAACCCCTGACACTATTAATGATACTGTGCAATGCTTGCAGACAGGAGCCTAGAATAACTGTCTTCTAAGTGGCTTCATCCAGCAGTTGATGGAAACAGATGCAGAGACCCACAGCCAAACAACAGGCCAAGTTAAAGGAGCTCTGTGGAAGAGTGAGAGGAAGAATAAAGGGAGCCAGAGGAGTCAAGGACACAACAAAAAGACAGGGTCAATCAACCTGGGCCCGTGGGGGATCACAGAGACTGAAACACCAACCAAAGAACATACATGGGCTGAACCTAGACCCTCTACACACATGTAGCAGATTTGCAGCTCAGTCATCATGTGGGTCTCCTAACAATTGGAGTAGGGGCTGTCTCTGTCTCTGTCGCCTGCCTCTGGATCTCTTTCTCCTAGCTGGACTGCCTTGTCTGGCCTCATTGGGAGAAACTGTGCTTAGTCCTGCTGTGACTTGGTATGTCTGAGTGAGTTGGTAGCTATGGAGGAGGCGGCTTCCCCTTCTCTGAGGAGAAAGGGAGGGGAGAATGGCATGAGGTGTGTAAGAGAATGGAAATAGAGGAGGAAGGTGCTGCAAACATGCTGTAAAATGATTAAGTAAATTAATGAAGAAAAAAAGATGACACCTCTTCAAGATAAATGTTCACCTGTAAAATTTTTGTACTTTTTTTTCCTTTTTTGAAAATGTTATTTTTTTCCTCACATAATATATGCTGATTATGGTTACCCTTCCCTCTACTCCCAGATTTACACAAGTGGAGAGAGGATCTCATTACACAGCACAGGCTGGCCTGAAACTCACACATCACCTGCCTCTACCTCCTAAGTGCAAGTAGATTAGAAAGGTCTGCCACCAGGCCCAGATTTTCTTTCCTTGTTTAATAAACAACAGAAATACTCCATTTAGGAGATAAGGTGGGTAAAAAAAATAAGGTAGAGATATATGGCCTGAAATTCAATATTTTCATAGTTTGTTATTCTTAATTAAAAAATAGTAGTTTAAGAAAATATAAAAAAATCTTTGTGCACATGATATGAACTTTGGAAACTACACAATCTGGTATTGAATCTTTTTACCTTTGAGAGGGCATCCTTTGCTGAACATACAGTCTTTACTAGAGCACTAAGGAACACATATTCATATGAGCAGATCAACAGCACCACGCTTTATACACACTGTACCCCACACCATTCTATTATGTAGAATGACTCAGCTTCCAGTGCATCAATAACTCTGGCTGATCCAGGTAAGTTTTAGTTCCACAGGATTCCCTCCTATCTCCTGGGCTCCCAGAGACCTGTCCTATGGACATTCTCTTGCTTAGAAAACTATGTACTCCAAATAACTTTCAGTTTAGCTGCTTTAATTCTGTAAATCTGGAACTGTAAGAACCAACCAGAGAAGAAGTGGGAAATAGTAAGAGCTGGAGGGGACAGGAACTCCACAAGGAGA